CATTAAACATACGTTAACATCACTAAGACTTCTCACACCTAACCCCCCTTGGGCTTTACTTTTACACACCTCCTTCCATTGAACTAAGTGAATTTTCCTTTGAATTTCAGAACCTCCCCACAAGAAGTTTGATTGAATCCTATCAATTATTTTAGCAATACTAGCAGGCATTTTAAAGATGGATAGAAAATGCACTAGTAGACTTGACAATACGGACTTAATTAGGATCAATCTGCTGGCAAAGGACAATAATCTCCTCTTCCAAGATGCTAACTTCTTTTTAAACTTCTTCACCACTGGTTGCCAAGTACTTCATCTCCTTGGATTGGCCCCTAAAGGTAAGCCAAGATATGTCAGAGGTAGACTCTGGCTGAGGCAATTCAGGTTATTAGCAAACTCCTTAACTAACTCCTCTTCCACTCCAATTCCACAAACTATACTTTTATGAAAATTAATCTTGAGACCTGACATGACTTCAAAACACCTCAAAATTCTTTTAAGCACCATGATTTCGTCCCATTTGGCTTCACAAAAAATAATAGTGTCATCTGCAAATTGTAAATGAGAGATTTTCAGTTCTTGATGACCAACTGAAGCTCCTCTGATCAGCCCCTTTTCCTTGGCCCTCTCTAACAGAATGACCTTCTGCCATTATATTAAAGAGGAAAGGCGATAGTGGATCTCCTTGTCTTAAACCCTTCTGAGGAGAAAACTCTGCTGTGGGTGACCCATTTACAAGCATTGAAATCCTCGATGTAGAAATGCAGGACCTAATCCAACCCACCCATTTTTCACCAAACCCAAAATTTTTCATCATTGACAGCAAAAACTCCCAGTTAACTGAATCATAGGTCTTCTCAAAATCCAATTTAAGAATGATTCCTTTTTTCTTGGACTTTTTCCACCAATCCACCACTTCGTTTGCAATTAAAACACCATCAAGGATGCATCTACCAGAAAGAAAAGCAGTTTGAACTTCTCCTATGAGTTTTGGGAGCACTTGTCTTATTCTTCTGGACAACACTTTAGCCAACACTTTATAAATTGAGCTAACCAAGCTTATAGGCCTATATTCGCTCAAATCTATTGGGTTCTTCTTTTTAGAAATCAAGGTGATGAAAGAGTTGCTTACCCCTTTAGCCAACTTCCCATTACGATGAAACTCTTGGAACAATTGAATGGACTCACCTTTCATTATAGGCCAGCACTTTTGAATGCAATACAGATTGAAGCCATCACGCCCAGGGGCTTTATTCCTATCAAAATCTTGAATGGCTGCCCAAATTTTTGCATCACTAAAATATGCCTTCAGCACTTCCTTTGAATCAACAGAACTAATGGACAAAAAAGACCTTGCCAGCTTAGGCCGACTCTTCTAACTTTCAACAAAAACTCTTCTAAAGTAATTCTCCACTACTTGCTTCACCATACTTGGGTCTTCCACCACAACACCATTTGCCTGAACTGAATCCAATAAATTTTTCCTCTGCCTGTTACTTGCCATCAAGTGAAATAGTCTAGTATTTTTATCACCATTTTGTGCCCATGACATGCTAGACTTTTGTAACCACATCCTCTCCTTACTTCTACTTAGATGCCAAACTTGACTTATGATCTCTCGTCTTCTATTCACCTCTGATTCCAACAAGGATCTATATTCAGCCTTCAGGTCCTACTCATGGAGTTCATCTTCATCTTGTTTAAGTTCATCATCAATATTACCAAAGATCTCCATGTTCCACCTACATAGATATGCTCTCAGTCTTTTGAACTTAAACATGATTCAAAAACTAGCCCATCCCTGAATTTGAGCCTCCTCCCAGACCTTTTCCACTCCCTTCTTAAACTGAGGATGGGATGTCCAAGCATTAATAAACCGAAAAGGTTTTGGCCCCCAATCCTTTCCATCCTCCATTAGCAAAACTGGACAGTGATCTGACATGCCTCTGGACAATCCCCATTGTTTAAATTTATACCTCTCTAGCCAAACAGGATCAAGCCAAAACCTATCAATCCTACTCCACCTCTCCCCATCCATTGCATTACACCATGTGAATAATCTTCCATCCATATTCAGATCAATTAATTCCAAGCTATCTATAAAATTATTAAAATCTTTCATTCCCCTTTCTATCCCTTCTTGAACATCCCTTCCTTTCACTCATAACTCTAATCTCATTAAAATCACCACCCAGACACCAAGGGTTGGGATAAGAGAGTTTAAGATTTATAAGACTCTCCCAAAGTTTCCTCCTCTTCAATGCATCAATCGGAGCATAAATATTGCAAATAACACAATGAAATGATTGAGATAAGATACTTGAGAGAAGAATGAATTCCTGGAACTGTAGCAGTCTATCAATTGAAAAATTTGGGTGTTCCAAATGCAAAGGAGACCACCTACACTTCCCTCTGTACCTACCTCCATAAAACCCATTTCATCCATTGGCCATAAGGACTTTACAAAATTACCATCAACAGCTTCTCTTTTAGTCTCCTGCAGCATCAAAACATCTACTAATTTTGCCCTCACCAATGCCTTAATTCTACTCCTTTTTTTAGGTCGGCTAAGACCCTTAACATTCCATGACATAATCTTCATGAAAACCTTCAACACAGCTCCTATCCTCCTTCATTTTTCCAGCAGCTTAATCAGCCTCACCCCTTCCTTCAACTTTTTCCAAATCTTTTTCCTCCAACTCCATTATTCTGGCCACCACTTCCTCTTCCTTCCCTTCGCAGTTTAGCCCTAAAGCCTCCCCTACCTCAATCGTAGGTTGGGCTTCTTTAAGTATCTTTTTTCTCCTTTGTGAACTACTACTTTGTGATATTGGTAGAGACATAGCAACTGCTGCCACTCAAAGGATCACTCCACTCTTGAGACTGTTGCTGAATAGGATCCCCTTCTGTTTTGGCTGTCTACCCTGCTTTATTCTTTATTTCCTCTGTTTAACTCCTTTCCTCCTCAGATCAGACTTCATTTTTTATCTAACATTAGCTTGCTGAAATGGGCCACCCTTCTCATGTTTATCTTTCTGTGCTACTACAGCTTCTCCTACCGCCATAAACTGTGACTGGGCTATGCAGTCACTTAAATTAGAATTAACTTCCCATCTTGGCCCATTAGTTATAGGCTGGACTTGGGCTTCGTGTAGCACAACTTCTAAATTTATTTTGGGCCTGCCACACTCCACCCCAGTTGAAGTATTTATAAAACCTGTAGTGCATACCTGATCTTCTACCCCTTGAGCTAACCCATTCTCCACTATCCTTGAGCAGACCGCCTGCACCACCCTTTATTTCCCTAGAGCACGCTCAGTTTCTTTATCAGCTGCTCCAGACATGCAATGATAGTCGCCATCCACTGCTGATAGTACTCTTTCCACTGTGTGAGTTCCATTAATTGACACCTCATTAGTTTTTGCCACATCATCATCATCATCGTCCTCATCTGCAACTGAACCGACTTCACTTTCAACCCCACCTTCAGCACCATTGACAGTTACCTCTAGATGAACATGATCAACTTGTCGCATGCGTTTGGACAAGTGTTCAACCTCATTGTGCATATTGGATTCCATTACTTCATTTTTGTGGCAGCTATACTCACCATTACATTGACAGATACTGACTAAGGGCTCTTCATACACTTGCACTTGATAAGCCCTCACGTTTCCTACTAGATTAATTGCCGTATTGATAGGCTCCATCATTTTTGTAATAATCCTTACTTTGGCAAACATAAAATGTTTGCCTCCCACTGTGTCTTCATCATACTGAACTATTTCTCCCCATACAGTGCCAATGGCTTCAAAGGTTTTGATACTCCAGAGATTGAGAGGAACTCCCACACAATTGAGCCAGATACATTTATCATGTTCCAAAAACTTCCCTTCTTCCCATTCAGATACTTCATCACTCTAGTCATAAATCCACTCCTCCATTTTCGCTCTTTCTTCCTTCATCTGATGGTTGGAGCTGAATGATAAAATTGCTAGCTTTCCTCCTGCTTGCCTAACTACCACTTCCTTTACAATCCTCTTATAGATCTCCTTTCTAAAGTCATGGAAGGAAAAAAATGCTTTGAGCTTGACCAGTACACTATCATATAACCACTCATTCCCAACCTTACTAGCTCTAACTGACACATTTTGTTTTCCAAATTCTCCTCCATTTTTTCCTTCAGTTTGAACTACTTCCGTATATGACTTACCTTTGATTCCTATCATAGGTTGGATGGGGGTCCACTGCTTCTTCTGCACCATACCTCTCTGCTTAGCATTTGTTAGCATCTGTCTACCTTGATTGGACTTGCTGTACTCAGCCATCTTTACTCTCAAGGCTCTGTTATGACACCATAAGCCATCAGCTTTTTGTACTGCCACCTCTGTAGCCACCTTGCAGTCGTACCTAACAAATCCAAATCTTGTTCTTGTAGTTTCCCTCCTTTTCATTGGTATGAAGACATCCCTCACAACTCCAAACTTGCTGAACAGATTAAATAGATCTCTAGGGGTCATGGCCTCTGGTACTTCATCAACGAAAAGAAAGACCACGTCATTCATCGTTGATCGACCATTTTGCATACCCATCCTCTGTTTTCTAAGAACCGGATTCCACCCTCTTTCACTTCCCTCCGTGATAGCCATTCTTCTGTCACCTCTCTTTAATTATGCAAAGCATGAGTTAATAACTCACACACTTGTTCAAATGAGCAATAAGGTGTCAAGAAAAGACTTAAGGTGCATTCATCTGATAAGTATCTGTTTGTGTGCATTGAGAACATGTGAGTATATGGAATATGAATTGTTGTGGCTATATGTGTATATGTGCAATTTTTGTGTCTATTATAATGCAAGTTTATATAAATAATGGCGAGAACAAGGGCTAATGAAATAGAAGAGTCGACTACCGCTTGACTAGATAGAGTGGATAAAATGATTCATAACATGTTTGAGGCATTAAGGCAATAATAGTAGTAACCACCCCCATCTTTGCCAATGCCAGTACTACCTATAGAAGATTATCAAACTGGTGACCGTATTGCCTTCACTGAAGAATTTAAGAAGATGAAGCCACCGTTGTTCCATGAGGGAGTAGAACCATTGAAAGCCGAAGCTTGGGTCCTTGTAATAGAGAAATTATTTGAGGTATTTTCGTCTATTGAGACACAAAGGGTTCAGTTGGCCGCATTCACTCTAAAGGATGAGGCAAGAAGATGGTGGATGATAATCCGAGAAGATAATAAAGGGATTGATTGGGCACGATTCCTCGAAATATTATATGAGAAATATTTTTCATAGTGTGTTCGTGATCGAAGGTGTCTGAGTTTGAGGGACTTAAGCAAGGTAACATGACAGTAGCTGAATATGAAGCAAAGTTCATAGAGTTGGTTAGGTTTGTATCGCACATAGTCGACACCAATTATAAAAAGGCAAGAAAGTTTGAAGGCGGACTTTGTAATGCAATTTTAGAAAAAGTGAATGTCTTGAAACTGCCAAAGTACATGGATGTTCTTGACCGAGCCCTAATGTCCAAGGCAAATTTGGCATCCCATAATCGACCATTTGAATGAAGAGGAAAGAGGCATGATTTTTATTCGAATAAAGGATCATCGTCTTCAAAGAAGCAAAACTGGGGAACATCTAGTGCTTCTAATTCAACAAGAGATTCTGCACCAACCTGTAATGTGTGTGGCAAGAAACACCAGAGAGTTTGTTATCATACTTCTGGGGCATGTTTCCGATGTGACAAGACTAGACATATGGTTAGAGATTATCCCCAGGTAGAACATAGAAGTGGAAGACCAGCTGCTAGTTCAACTAGATTTATCCCAATGCCAGGAAACGTTGCAAGGCCTACAGCTACGAGAGACACACTAAGGCAAGGGAAAGTTTTTCCACTTGTCCCAGGTCATACACGAAACACTCAAGCCTTTGTCTCAATTAATATCTCTATTTGTAACCAAGATACTTATGTGCTAATTGATTCGGGTTCAACACATTCCCTTGTATCTACTGTATTTGCATCTAGACTGAATAGACCCATTGAATCATTGCCATATCTGTTGTGTGTGTCTGCTTTATCTGGGGAATTTGTTCTATGTTCATCTGTATATTGTGCTTGTGAAATACGTGTTGGAGATGCCACATTATTTGTAGATTTGTTACCTTTTGACATTAGACATTTTGATGTAATTTTGGGAATGGACTGGTTGTCTAAATACTGTGCTACTATTGACTATGTAACGAAATGGGTTTTGTATAGACCTTTGGGACATGATGAATTTGTATTTGTGGACAATGGTGTAATACCTCTGCCTTACTTGATTTCGGTAATGAAAGCATGCAAACTACTTAAGAAGGGATGTCAGGGTTATTTGTGTAGTGTTTTGACTGATCAATCTATGAATGTTGTGTTAGATGATATTCCTATTGTTAGAGAATCTCTAGATGTATATCTAGAGGAATTGATAGGGTAATTAGTTGACAAGGAGATTGAATTCATTATTAAAGTTGTACCAGGTACTCAACCCATTTCAAAAACTCCATATAGAATGTTAACTCCTGAAATGAAAGAATTGAAAGAATAGCTGCAGGATTTTCTTGACAAGGGTTTTATCCGACCGAGTACTTTGCCTTGGGGTGCACCGAATCTATTTGTTAAAAAGAAGGATAGAACCTTACGTTTTTGTATCGATTACCGATAGTTGAATATGGCAACGATCAAGAGACAATACCCTCTACCTCGTATTGATGACTTGTTTGATAAGTTGTAGGGTTTACAAGTGTTTTCAAAGATCGATTTGAGATCCGGGTACCATCAACTGAAAGTGAAAATTGAACATGTTTACAAAACTATATTTCGAACAAGTTATGGACATTACGAATTCTGGTTATGCCATTTTGAGGTACAAATGCACCTGCAGCATTTATGGACCTCATGAATCGAATTTTTAAATCCTACCTTGATGAATTCATAGTTGTTTTTATTGATGATATCTTAATTTATTCAAGAAGTAGAGAAGAACACGAACAACATTTGAGAACAGTTTTACAAACACTTAGGGAGAAGAAATTATATGCTAAGCTGAAGAAATGTGAATTTTGATTGGATGAGGTTGTGTTTCTAGGGCATATTATTAATAGGGATGGAATTTCAGTAGACCCACAAAAGCTTGAGGCTATTGTAAATTGGCCTACACCAACAAATGTGATGGAAGTCCGAAGCTTCATAGGATTAGCTGGGTATTATAGAAGATTTGTGAAAAACTTTTTAAAGATAATTGTACCACTTACCCAACTTACCCGAAAGGGATAACTGTTTGGATGGGTTCATGAAAGAGAATTCGCCTTCCAAGAACTGAAGAGATGATTGACTATAACACCGGTTTTGACATTGCCTTAAGGTACATAAATTTTTTTGATTTATAGTGATACTTCTTACAAGGGTTTGGGTTGTGTTTTGATGTAGAATGGTAAAGGGATAGCCTATGCATCTCGATATCTGAAACCTCACGAAAAGAACTACCCGACTCATGACCTAGAGTTGGCCATAGTTGTATTTGCTTTGAAGATTTGTGTCACTATCTGTACAGAGCAAAGTGTGAAGTCTATACCGATCATAAGAGTCTGAAGAACTTTTTCACTCAAAAGGAATTGAATATGTGACAAAGAAGATGACTCGAGTTGATTAAGAACAATGATCTTTAGATTCAGTATCACTTGGGAATATCTAACACCGTGGCCGATGATTGAGTAGGAAGTCAACGGGGAACTTGGCATGTTTGTTGACTGAACAGAAAGGGATATTGAAAGACTTAGAAAGATCCGAGATTGATGTAGTGTTATGATCAGCGTGGGTTGATAGCTGTTATTTCAGCTCAATTGACAATCATTGATGAGATTAAATAGAAGCAAAAAGATGATGAATTCCTTAAGAGAATGTTTGATGAATTTGAATCAAATTCGAAACCAGGGTTCAGTATTGAAAATGAAGTGTTGAGATTTCAAGTATTTTGGAAGAAGCTCACAAGTCCAAATTTGCAATGCATCCGGGCAACAACAAAATGTATCGAGATTTGAAGCAAAGTTTTTAGTGGCCTAGCATGAAGAAAGAAATTGCAAAGTATGTGTCTAGACGTCTTCAACATCAGCAAGCTAAAATTGAACATCAAAATCCAGCGGGATTACTTCAACCTCTTCGTATTTTAGATTGGAAATGACAGCACATAACTATGGACTTCATTGTTGGTCTACCTCGAACACTAAAAGGTATGAATTCTATTTGGGTTATTATGGATAGGTTGACTAAATCTGCACATTTTCTACTTGTAAAAACTAGCTTTGATGCTTAAAGATTGGCCACAATTTACATTCATGAAATTATTCATTTACATGGAGTACCGGTATCCATTATTTTGGATAGAGATCCAAATATTGTGTCTAGATTTTGGAAAAGTCTTCAAAGAGAAATGGGAATGGAATTTAGGTTTAGTACTGCATTCCATCTACAAACTGACAGGAAATCAAAAAGAACTATTCAAACTTTAGAGGATATGCTCCGAATGTGTGCTCTAGACTTTCAAGGGAGTTGGGAAATTTATTTGCCATTGGCAGAATTTTCATACAATAATAGTTTCCACTTTAGCATTGGCATGGCACCATATGAAGCCTTGTACAGAAGAAAATGTAGGTCTCCGATATGTTGTACTAAAGTTGGGGGAAAAATCTTGGTTAGACCTGAAATTGTGCAAACAACCACTGAAAAGATTAAAGTCATTCAACAAAGGCTCAAAATAACATAAAACTAACAAAAGAGTTATATGAATCATAGAAGTAGGGCTCTTAAATATGAAACATGTGACCATATGTTCATAAGGGTAATTTTGATGAAGTGTCAATCGAGGTTTGGCAAGAAAGGCAAATTATCACCTCAATACATTGGACCATTTCAAATTCTGAAAAGGCTTGGTTAGGTTGCGTATCGAGTTGCTCTACCATCGGGAATGAAATAAATGCACAATGTGTTTCATATATCGATGTTAAGGGGCTATCTTCGAGATCCATTCCATGTTATAGATTATCACCGGATAGCACTTGATGATATGATATATGAAGAAAAGCCAATTCAAATTATTGATTGACAAGTCAAGTAGTTGAGGAACAAATCAATTCCTATGGTAAAAATAGAATGGAAGCAACTTGGGAAAAAGAAGATGAAATGTGGCAAAGGTATGCCAAGTTATTTCCGACTCAAGGTAATGTAAGTTTGAAGGACCAACCTTCTTAAAGGCGGGAAGACTGTGACAACCTCATTATGTATTATGCTTTTAATTTCTTAATTATGCATGTGCTTATGTGCTAGGTGCAAATTTGAGTGATAATTATGTCATTAATGTGGTCTTAACTACATATCTGCTGATTGTAGGAAAATATGTTATGAATTCTATTTTGATTTGAAAATTGAAGACCTTAATGGTGTCAAAAATCAAAATTGGTAAATTTATTGTGATCAACATAATTTTTAGAGCCTATTAAGAAGTTTGATTGAAATTTGATTCAGTCCAGTCCAAATTAATTAGAATAAAATCAATTAGAATTACGCGTGATTAGTTAATTTAAACCTTAATAACCTCCTAATCTAATCCCCATGTATATAAATGGCATAATTAGGAGTTTGGACTCCCTTAATTATACTTGAACTAAAAAAATCTAAGGGAGAGCTCTAGAGAGAGAAACTTCACGTTCTAGAGAAGGAAGAGGCTAGAGGACTTGGAATTTGACAAGGAAATTGGAGAATTGGGTAAAACCACTCAAGTTCTTGCTAGGATTTGTGTTCTTGAAGATTCTAGGTGAGTGTTTATACCTTAATTCATACGTTTAAGTCATTTCATATGTGAATTCAAGAGGACTATCTGATTGAATACAAAAATTGAGTTAAGATTGTTGAATTTGGAGACAATTCATACATGTATGCATAGTTTTATTGAGTTTCACCACTTTTTAAAGCATGATTTTGTCATCCATGTTGAGTTTTGATGCTATCTTTTACATGCAATCATGAATTATGAAGTTTTGGAGGTTAATTCCATGATTTACAAGTTTTTGAAAGTGAATTGCATGTTTTTGTAAACTTTGAAAAGGAATTTGAAGTTTAATCATACATGTATGATCATTTGAGTTAAATTCATGAAGTTTGGCCTTGAGGCTTGAGAATTGGTCTTCAATTCTTGTTTTTGGAAGAGTTTAAAGTGTTTGAGAAGTTGTTTACATGCCATGCAAGAATTTAATTTTAAACTACAGCTTTGAAACTCAACTCTATTATGGAATTTCCAGAATTTTGTCTCACCGCTCAAGCAAACAATCCGTCGCTAAAGCGCACATTTCATGTGTCTAGTATTTTTGCATGCATTTATAGTTGGCTAGAGTGACCAAGTCACCGCTCGAGTGACCACCTTTTATTTTGCACCTTGGCTCAAGTGAACATCGAGCCTAGATTCAGACTATCCAGTATATTTGCAGACTAAGTGGTCTGCTCGAGTGACCAATATTGCACTCGAGTGAAGTGCTACAT